CTCTATCCGATTTTGGTGTTAGCCAATGCTGCCGTTACCCGAGGGTTCAATGTATATGGAATAGGTAGTAAGTTACTAAATGCTGTAAAGAGTTTTTATGAGGATAGTGAGGTTCAGGTTAGGGTGTGTAGGAGAGAGGGAGAATACTTCCCGGTAAAAGTACGTCTTAGACAGGGATGTGTAATGTCACAGTGGTTGCTTAATATATTTATAGACGGGGTTGTAAAAGAAGTAAATGCTAGGGTATTGGGGAGAGGGGTGGGATTAAATTATGGGGAATCAAATACAAAATGGGAGTTGACAGTTACTTTTTGCTGATAATACTGTGCTTATGGGAGATTCTAAAGAAAAGTTGCAAAGGTTAGTGGATGAGTTTGGGAGGGTGTGTAAAGGTAGAAAGTAGAAAGTGAACATAGATAAGAGTAAGGTGATGAGGGTATCAAACTATTTAGGTAAAGAAAATTGGATATCACATTGGAGAGAGGGAGTATGGAAGAAGTGAATGTTTTCAGACATTTGGAAGTTGACTTGTCAGTGAATGAGTTTATGAAGGATGAGGTTAACCATAGAATTGATGAAGGAAAAAAGGTGAGTGGTGCGTTGAGGTATCTGTTGAGACAAAAAACGTTATCCATGGAGGCAAAGAAGGGAATGTATGAAATTATAGTGGTACCAACACTCTTATATGGGTGTGAAGCTGGGGTTGCAAATGCTTCAGTGAGGAGGCAGCTGGAGGCAGTGGAGATGTCCTGTCTAAGGGCAATGTGTGGTGTAAATATTATGCAGAGAATTCAGAGAGTGGAAATTAGGAGGAGGTGTGGAGTTACTAAAAATATTTGTCAGAGGGCTGAAGAGGGGTTGTTGAGGTGGTTTGGTTATTTAGAGAAAATGGATCAAGTAGAATGACTTGGAGAGCATATAAATCTGTAGGGGAAGGAGGGTGGGGTAGGGGTTGTCCTTGGAAAGGTTGGAGGGAGAGGGTAAAGAAGGTTTTGTGGGTGAGGGGGCTTGGACTTCCAGCAAGCATGTGTGAGCATGTTAGATAGGAGTGAATGGAGACAAATGCTTTTTGGGACTTGACAAGCTGTTGGAGTGTGAGCAGGGTAATATTTTGTGAAAGTAGTATTGCCTAAATTATTACAGACGTTGAGCCTTGCTTACTGTGTTTCTTAATAAACCTTTTGTTTTTAATTATATTTGGCAGTGGTTGTGGTTCATACTGTCATAGTATATGGAACCCATTCCAGTTTCTATCACAGTTATTTGTGAAAAGTTCTTACAGGTCCACATCCCTTTATCCAAAACCCTTGGGGCCAGTAGTGTTTTGAATTTCAGAATTTTTCAAATTTCAGAATATTGGTGGGATCTAGGGCAGTACCCCATAATCAAACATTAACACTGCAGCAAAAAGTATGAATACTCACACTAAGTGGGATAAAGACTACAAATGCTACTACTGTTTATTTATAGAGTAATATATTGATAAATGAAATAATAGGATAATTATAGACCAGGAACATGATTCTCAAGATAGTTGACAATCAGTATTTTTAAAGATTTCTTCAAGTGTCATCTGTCTTATTAACATAAGTTTCTGTCTAAGCAATCTCTCTTTAATTGAGTAAATTGCCATAATCTCTTGCTCACTGATAAATGCACATTGGAACTTTTCGAATTTCAGAATTTCGGATAAAGGGATGTGGACCTGTATAACCTTTTCTGATCTACAGTATCTTTTATTGCAATTTAAGTTCATAGACTATTTTTCCTCCTGTTGCTGGTTCTCTCCCCCCCCCCAACAAAAAAAATCCTCAGGTTTTAATAGCTATAAAGTGTACATGCCTATTTTGTCTTCCTTCTGATTCATGATCCATGACTAGCACCCATTCTGTTGTATATCTTAGGACTTATGTAATTTATCTGTTTCTGTAGGTGTAGAAATCATACTACAGCTGCACCTATGTTTCTGTAGGTGTTGGCTACTTGCTATAGCTACTTATTCCAATTTAGGTGTACAAATATTGTCAAAATCTTTTTTTTTTTATAGTAGTACTGTATCCTTATGCAGTACTAAAAAGCTTAGTATGAAGTGTGACAGCATTACATTTATTCTCATGCTACTTGCTGTGATAGTTATGGAATCTCATTTGACACTGTAATGTACTTTTGAATCTGGAAAGTTAAGTTAGGATTGTGTGGCCTAGAATGAGAGCAAGGGAGCAAGTAATAGTGACCTTTACCTTTGAGTTCTGGGAGTTCTTTTACTCCTGGCCAGGCTCGTCTCTTCTTTGGTGTTAAATAGCTGAAGTATTAAAGCAGTCTTTGGGCTGTGTATTTACTTTCTTACTGCTTATTACAATAGGTGTCTGTCTCATGTATTTTTAAGTTCAATTCTGATTCTGTGAAATCCAGTGTTGCATTGTTAGAGAAGGCCAGTAGGGTAAGCAAGTAATACTGAGTTTTTTGATAATGGTGAAACATGAATGTTAACCCTTTCACAGTCCAGAGGCCAAATTTCAAAGGGTGCACCAGTGTCCAAGAATTTTCAAAAAAATAATTTTTTTATTTTTTCTTATGAAATTATAGAGAATCTTTTTCTGAAGGTAATAAAACAAAAAGTACGAAATTTGGTAGAAAACTGACAAAATTATGCTCTCGCGAATTTTGATGTGTCAGCGATATTTACGCATCGGCGATTTTACCAACTTTGACTCCTAGTTTAGGCCAGTTACAGTATTCCAGTCAACCAAATTCTTAGCTATTTCACTAGTATTACTTCTATTCTATTGATTGAGCACAAGAAATTGCCAAGTCAACTGTTTCAACAACAAAATAAAGTGACCGGAAATTGGTAATTTGGCCAATTTAACACAAAGTTCAAAATATTCCAATTTCAAAATAGGGTCCAGAATAAACAATGCAGGCATTCCTGGCACTAAACTAACATTTCCTCTGTTCATTAGTTACGTTTTCAGGCTTTACAAATGAATTCCATTTTGATTTTTTATTCACATAATGAATTTTTATTCAAACCATAAAATAGAACATTTACTGTTATGCAATACTGTAATACTTGTGTAAATAATATCACCACATTTGTGAATGTATATTAGACCCACCAGCTGTCATGTAATTAGACTTGTGAGGTCATTTATTTACTCTTGAACATCAGCAAAAATTTAACATTTCTGCTACTTTGAGCTCAGTTTCAAGCCATTTCCAGTACTAAAACCAATCAAAATCATCTCTATTTCTATAGTATATCTTCCATTCTTTCAAGTGAGACCAAGAAATTGCAAATACAACTATAAAAAACATAGGAAAAAACACTGCAAAGTCGCCGTTTTAATTGAAAATTACGGTCTCATTTTTTTTCTCTCATTATGCACTGTGTGCTGCAGGATTTGTTTTATGTGGTGCACACATACCACATAGATGTATTCTCTCATATCTAGGCCCAAATTTACTGCTCGCAGCTTATCAGAGTGAGCTGAGCTCATGGCATAGATCTACGGTTTGGACCCTGAACGTAAAGCTGTAGATCTACGGCACGGACCCTGAAAGGGTTAAGGAACCTCCCTTGAGGTGGAAGTTTGCATCCTGAAATTTCCTTCATATCCAAAAGCAAAAAATCGACCGAATGACGGTTCGTATCCTGAAAAATTCACATGGTGAGGCATTCCTAAGCCGAGGTTCCACTGTATTTTTCACTTATTACTATTTCTTATGTTTTAATCTCTGTGATTACTTGTGGTCCTGCACCATCTTTTCCATGTATCTGCCTCATTACCAATACCATCAAGTAGAGTGAATTTAATGTTTTTTTTTTTGAGTTGGGAATGAGGGGACAAAAAGGGAATAGCCATGATAGGGAGATTCTTCAAGTATTTGTTGCCAGTATTACTCATTACTTCAGGTACAGGAGCTGAGCTCGGCTTGTGGTGTATTGTCTTCAGTGTTTAATTTGTTAGGAAAAAAGTTTGTGGTTGTAGCCACACTACCTTATTGAGGATATCATTCCAGAAGTCTACCATACCATTATTTACAAAGAAGAATTCTTTAGGATCTTTTGTCATAATACGTATAGGCCTTTTCTCAGTTTAAAATTGTTCCCTCCTGCTGATGACACTGAAGAATTTTTTAAATCTATTTTTGTGACATCACTTTCAGAACATTGCTTTTACTCACAGTATTTTTTAAGTTCTTATTTCTTAGTCTTCCATATATGTTATACTGTTTTCTTTTATCTTTTTAAATTTAGAGTGTATTGTATTATGTAAATCAATGTCTGTTGCAAATATTTTATGTATTTAACATGACTTCTATTCGTCCAGTATGAGCTCAAACTGGTGGCCTCGGACAACCGTAATGAGAACCATACTACAGTTGTCATTCATGTCAAAGATGTGAATGACAATCCACCAATGTTTGATCGGCCCCTGTATGAAACGCAGATCACCGAGGAAGATGACCGCAGCCTACCTAAAAATATCCTCACGGTCTCTGTCCCTAAGAAACTCTTATTCTGGCTTGTTCTGTTCCTGCACCACTCACTCATTTGTTACCCTCCTGATTGTATTAGTTTCTGTGTTTCTATGTTAGGGTCATGAGCATGTTAGATTAGAACTTCAATCATGGCTTTGCAAAATTAATTTTTTTTTTTTTTTAGCTTTGTACCCCACCTTGATATAAATGTCATGCTCGTGACTGTAACACAAATTATAATCAAGGCTTTTTAGACACAACAATTTTATATACTGCTGTTTTTTCCCCACGATGTGCATGCCACAGCCCTTCCAAACCCGTTATTTTTTTTTTTATCCCTATAATGCACCTCCTCATTATTTTGTCCCCTTTTATTCCAGTGAGGTGCATGTGCAGGAGATGTGATAGCAGTTTGATTTTACATTGAGTTTTGTTTTACTGCAGTAAGCATGGTAATGAAGTATCATGTTTACTGTTTTTGTTTCTGTTCCCCGGATGCTTGTTTGGTGGTTCAGTACGAACTAAGTCTAGTAGCCACCGATAGTGTCAACGAGGCAACAACCAAAGTAATCATCCACATCGCTGATGTCAATGATCGCCCTCCAGAGTTTGACAGACCAAATTATGAAGCAACTATTGAAGAGGAGCGCAGTGACGGTTTGCCTATACCACTACTCAAGGTAGACATTTTTTCCTTTTTTTTTTTTTTATTTTTGTTGGGTGGTGGGAAAGGAAAATATCAGAAAGCAGGGATGGCACGTATTCATTGTATAAACGATATAAGGCTGGTTACTATTTGTGTTTCTAGGCTTGATTATTACTTTGTGATCGTTGCTGTATAGTACTCTTTCTGCTTGGCAACAAGTGTAAGTGTTGTGCATTTATTAATGTTTTTTTTATGAAAGTTTAAAATAAAGCTTTAAATAACTATCAAAGTTTACTTCCACTACTTTTTCATTATATAAAAGCCTGGCTCCAGGCCAGGCTGTGAGGGGTAGAAAAACACTCCAAACCAGTCACATGTATAAAATATTATGTGGAGAACTTTAAATTTTTCTTGTTTGTATTACTAAAGCTTTAATTGGTTAACAATAGACTTTATGTCAAGCACAGTTTGGTCTGAAGAATTCTATTATGCAGTGCATATTTAGTTTTGCCGTTATTATTAATTGTGAATTCATATTGTAACATTAGCAACATAGAAGTGAAGATAAACTCAGTTAAGTTGCTTTGCTTACTTGGGATTATTTGAATATTTCCCCCCCCAAAAAAAAAAAAAGTAACTCAAGGATTGATAATCTAATTGACTGTTTTTGCCAAGTGCTTTCTTGAGAATAATGCAGTAGGTTTTTAATTGTTTTTTGAAACTGCTTGGCATATATCATACAAAAAACTTGTGGCCTGCCTGTGTTTATAAAAATACTGTAGAATAAAATCTTGCATCACCTATTCTTATCAGAACTATCAGTATTCATTATATAATGAGCCAACAAAATAAATATATTTTGTCAAGCACAGTAATACTTAGACCTTAATTGTTGTCAGAAAATAGTCTAAAATTGTCAGTTAATGTTAGATGGTGGGTGATTACTTAATGACTTATCAGTCATTCACACTAAGAGGACTAGTGTAAGACTGGCCAATAAGTTACTTCAAGTTGCTGATATATTTGTTAATCATTACTAATATTCATGTTATGTGAAGTGGTTTATTTTATGCTTCGTGTAGCAGCATTATGTGCCAACTTATTTCAGTACTCATAACGTGATGGAAAGTGGTTTACTTTTAGCTTTATTAATATCTCTGATAGTGTGAATGCTGTCAGTTACTGCATAAAATTACTCCCATGGCCCAACATAAATGCATGAAAATAGCCTAATTCATGTTAGATGTAGTTTACATGTGCATGTGCAATATCTGCAGTTCAGCATTGTTTTTACTTTACAATATTTTATTTTGTTCAAGATTTTTTTGCCTCACTTTTAATTCACTGTGTTCATATATGTGAAAAAGTATGAATATGCTAGATAGATCTTTATTAAAATTCGATAATTATAATAAATATTGAAGCTGTTGTAAGATATCTGGTGTAATAATTTCTTTTCATTATAATAATTATTAAAAAATTTTGCATAATAAAGGTTGGTTTGTGTTGTAATGATTACTAATACTAATATCATGTTTTAACAGGTTACAGCCACAGATGGTGACCGCGACCGTATACAGGATATTGTTTACTTCTTAACAGGCCAGGGTATATATATGGACAACCCCGATCAGTCTCAGTTTGAGGTCAATCGTACATCAGGAGAAATTTTTGTGAGGAAGGTCAGTCATCTCTCTTGTATACTTGCAAACCTGTGAAATATCAGAGATATTGTATTTCTAGTTTGGTATTTATTTTAAACAAGTTTGAAACTACTCGTTAGTCATTACATTTGTAGTGCGAGATTGATATTTCTCTTCACTCCAAAATCAACACATTAGGCTGGAGAGAAAGAGTGTAGGAATTAAAATATTTGATAATGGCAAGAAATTATATAAATCCTGATATTTCTTTGATACTTTAGTGCTACATTGTTTTGCATGTACTTGGTACTCATCACCTATATCTCAGAATTGTAATCAGCACACAGCACCTACACTGCAAACCTGTACAGCAGAAAAGAATAGCTAGATTATAAGAAAGGAAAGTAGGTAGATCTTTAACAGTATTTTAAAGAAACTGGAATAAACACAGACCCCCATATTACACAGATTTATTTAGCATCTTTTGGTTATTACACTATTGAGAAATTGCAGCATAATTTTATACAGTACTTTGTAAAATTAATGTGGTTCCGTTTATGGGAGGGGAAAAAATTTGGAGCGCCGCCCGTGAGGTATTTCCCCAGCTCAGGCTGCCGCCTGGCTGTGAGTGAGATCACTGTCTCTGCGGGGCTGCACTGGGCTTCAAGACAGTGAAGGATCACTTCACCTTGCTCCTTTGCAGTAATGCATCAGGTTATTTCAAGTGTAAGCCCATGGTTATTTACTGCTCTAAGAATCCTCGTGCTTTGAAAGGTGTAGGTAAAAACACCTTACCAGTAATTTGGAGGTCAAACCAGTCAACATGGATGACAGAGGAAATATTTATTGACTGGTTTAAGCATCACACTATTCCTGAGGTCAAGTTTACCTGCACAGCAAAAACCTTGCATTCAAGACTCTCTTCGTTTTTGATAATTTCTGTACTCATCCAGAAGCTTTGCTGGATGTGACCTCTCCAAATACATAATACAACCAAGTGTAACTAGACAAGAAAAGTGATGATAAAACTAGTTGCATCAGTGGACTCTGACCCCAACCTGGCAGTACCAAGCTTCTGGAATAATGTATAATGTACTGTAGGGTAAAAGAAGCCAGAGATCCATTACAGAATTTATGCACATTCCAGTACAACTATCAGCTTTAGTACCAGAACCTCAACCATCCACTTCTGCTGACAACCAACAGTTATTCACCTTAGCCTAGTAGGGCCACACCATGCATCTCCACTCTCTTCACAATCACTGACATACACCAACAACCACAATTTAAGGTAAATAATATTATTTCTGTTTTATTTGTAGTCTTAAGCAACAAAAACAACATTATCATTTTTATTTTTGTAAGATCTGGATCTGCAACACAATGGTATCTTGGTACAGAACAGAAAACAACTTGGACAACTTCTACTAGTGAGAATGGCTGGATTTGAGAGGGACGTGACCTCCCAATGACTACATTCTTACCTCTACTAGTGGCCTACATCTCGCCTCCTGGCAGTATATAGGGCTCCATCCTGTCACTTCAACTCTATATTGTTTCAGACTATGGAACAATACTCTTCTTCAGACTGAGGGACTGACCACCTCAAAACTTCAAGGGTGATGGACTGATTACATCGTCTTCACATCTCTTCTGCTTCTATCAACTTTTCTGTACTCGACTGAAAAAGCCTACTGTGTAGGCGAAACGTTTCGAAAAAAAGATACCTAACTGTTGCATGTGTGTCTTACCTAACAAGATCTGGATATCTAAAAAAAAAAATTGTTTGGCATTTGGGGGGGCCCCAGGAATGTAACCCTATTTTTTCCCTAAGTTCTTCAGTTTATATAACATGGATTTATCTAAGACAACATTTTCAGGAACATAACTACCATGTAATATGAGGGTCTACTGTACTACAATAGGCAGACATAAACATGATATATGACAAGTTATGTAAAATGTGCATACATAGTATTGATCAGTTTATTTCAAAATAGGGAAATAGAAGACTTTACAAAAAGAAATGGTTCAACTGGAGACTCCTAAAAAATTAAGAAACGGTTTAAATTTAATCTAGGAAATGTGTCAATTCAAGGGTTTATTTTTTATTTTTTTATTAACACATTGGCTGTTTCCCACTAAGGCATAGGCATGCTTACACTACAGTTTTAAAACTGCAACATTAACCCTTTCAGGGTCGCCAGGCCCTCTCCAAGACTTGTACTCAGGGTCGCCAAATTTTCAAAAAAAAAAAAAATAATTTTTTTTTTCTTAAGAAAAGATAGAGAATTTTTTCCCGATCATAATGACACCAAAAGTATGAAATTTGATGGAAAACTTATGGAATTATGCTCTTCCCAAGTTAGTGGTCTCGACAATGTTTATGCATCAGCGATTTTGCCCACTTTGAGCCCTATTTTTGGCCAATTCCAGTGTACTAGTCGAAAAAAATCATAGCTATTTCGCTAGAACTCCATTTTTTTCTATTGAATGAGTACAAGAAACCACCCATTTACTAATCTCAACTATCCAATAAAGTGGTCAGAATTTAGCAATTTTACCAATTTCACACAAATTTCAAAAGATGCCAATTTCCGAATAGGGTCCAGAATAAACAAGAAAGACAATCCTGGCACTAAAATAGCATATCCTCTATTCATTAGTCACATCCCCACACCCCTCTTACATTCTTTTGCTTTCCACTTTGAATTTTTATTCTCACAAAAAATAGAAGATTTACTGTTATGCAGACTACTGCATTAGTGTAGAAATGGTATAAATAATATCAGCGCACTTGTGAAAGAATATTAGACTCGCCAGTTGATGTGTATTGGACGTGTAGCATGATTTGTTTACTTTTGAACTTTGGTAAAAATCAAACATTTCTGCTACTTTGAGCTCAATTTCAAGGTACTTTTCATTGTAAAACCAGTCAAAATCATCTCAATTTCTGTAATATGTCTTCTATTCTATCAAATAAGACCAGGAAAACTAGAATACAACAATAAATACCATACGAAAATACAGGGCAAATTTGCTGTTTTAATCCAAAAACACGGTCAAAGTTTTTTTTTTCTCATTACGTACTGTGTGCTGAAGGATTTTTTTTGTACTGCACACACTGACCACATAGACCCATTCTTTCATATGTAGGCCTACCAGCTTTCTCTCACTAGATTTGAGGGCACTAGAATTTAGGCGTACTAGTGCGTCAAAAACCCTGGTGCGTAAGCCACACTAGTACGTCCGAAACCCTGAAAGGGTTAATACCCCTCCTTCAGAGTGCCAGCACTGTACTTCCCATTTTCAGGAATCAAGTCTGGCCTGCCAGTTTCCCTGAATCCCTTCATAAATGTTACCATGCTTATGCTCTAAGAGCACGTCAAGTCCTAAAAACCATTTGTCTCCATTTGCTACTAACACACTCACGCACGCTTGCTGGAAGCCCAAGCCACTCGCACACAAAATCTCTTTTACTCCCTCCTTCCAACCTTTCCTAGGCCAACCCCTACCCGCCATCCCTCCACTACAGATTTATACACTCTCGAAGTCATTCTATATTGTTCCATCCTCTCTTCATGTCCAAACCATCTCAGTAACCCCTCCTCAGCCCTCTGGATAATAGTTGTGGTAATCCCGCACCTCCTTCTAATCTACGGTTTCGATGCATTATACAGTGGACCCCCGAATTAAGTAATTAATCTGTTCCAGAGAGAGTGACTCGACCCACTTAATTCCGAATTAATTTTCCCCATAAGAAATAATGGAAATACGATTAATCCATTCCCGACACCCAAAAGTATTAAAAAAAAATATTTTTTTTACATGAAATATACATTTCTCTACACAGGAAACAATGAGACATGCAGAATAAAACATTACTAAAACGACACGTACCTTTATTGAAGACTTATTGATGAGCGATGAGATGGGAGGGGGGGAGAGATTGGAGGTGTACTATTGTTTGGAAGGGAAATCCCCATCCATAAGGACTTCAGGTACCAAGTCCTTTTCTGGAGTTACTTCCCTTCTTTGTTTTTTAATGCCACTAGGACCAGCTTGAGAATCTCTGGACCCCTGTCGCTCAAAAAAAGTGTTCCAAAGAGGTCTGTTTCTGGCATTTCTTTAAGGGTGCAATATTTGATTATTCGCGCGCTCTCCAATCGAAAAATTATGGAAATTGAGTTATTCATATAGAAAAATAGCTTAACTCTTTGGCAACACAATGGTACAAGAATCAATGTTCTACGATGTTTCTACAAGAAATTATAGTCATTTATATCAGGTAAGGTGACAGCGATATGGGTAGCGCGTCTGCTCATGGCCCATATATTTTTTGGAATTTTTTCCTTGTTTTTTATCGCTTTTTCTTGCATTATTCTTTCTAGTATAAAAACCAACTATTTTGCATCATAAAACAGTAGGCGGAGCTTATCCGTAGACTTAGAGCCAACCAGGCACCATATGGGAATGCTCGACTCCAGAGAGTGCCAGGAGAAATCACTTCATTATTATGCTTATATCAGCTTATATATCAACTCGACGGCTTATTTATCTATCAGAATTGATCTAATATGATATAATAAACACTATAAATAACATACAAACATGTTATATACTCTAGACTGAATAAAATAGGCCATAATATGGCGAGAATCCACCAGTAATATTCAATATAAAATTGTTACCCCTCGACTTCTTGTTGTATGACTTGGTCTTCAATGATAGAAAATGGTGTGTTGAAGAGGATAACTGCACTAGAACACCAGTTTACTAAGAAATACACCCAAACAAACGCGATTTTCGCGATTTTTTTTTTTTTTTTTTTGAGACGGCGGGCCGGCCGGCGCTCCAGGCCAATATCTCAGAAGTAACTTATTCATTTATGCCGACATTTTCCGACATTATTACTTAATTAAATGGAATAATATTCACAGAAATTGTAGAATAATGATTTCTCTATATTCTAATGAAATAACTTTGGAAATATTCCAAATACTTTGGGAGTTATGTTGGAGTAAAGGGCAGATTTTTTG